TGGAGCTATGTACAATGGAGAAACTGAAGTCAAGATCGAAAAAAAGAATAACACAACATAAAAGATAAATTAAAAAGAACGAAACAACATCAAATTCGGAAATGATTCAACATCATCAAAATCAAAATTATGAATATGTGTCTGATTTAACACGAGCATTTGCCATCGATAATGAGATTGGTTCGAAAAAACGACGAATTAAAGAAGCAATTTATTCAATCATTAACAATTCGATAAATCGTCCAGATAACATTAATGAATTATGGCTCCCTCTACCATATTAATCATCAGCAAAAATAAAAGCTGATATTACAACACGAGGGAGAATAAATATGTCTATTGTGAAAGTGCAAAACGGTGATAGTGCGATAGAGAAAGAAGACAAATAATCTATCTCTCCTATCACGATCATATAACGGGCGGCCCATAATAAATGACCCTCTCAGTATTTTGCATATTTCTCACCTATAATTCAGCTTGGAAAAAAAAATTTTTTTTATAGAAAGATTCCTTGTCAAATTCTCTACAAAACGTAGATATTTCTATTATTTTAAATCATTTCCATTATTTTGTGACATGCGATACAATCGATTGGTCCAAGAAGCACAACTTTCAAACACAACATTTTTTCGAATTTGTTTTAATGCACGTTTTAGTTCTTGGATCATGGTCAGTTTAGATATCACTTTATTCTAGTTGATGACTTTCACAAATTCATCCCAAATACAGTAATCCAATGGATTAAGATCGGGACTATTTGGTGGCCAATGGTCTTCATCGATAAATGATGGAAAGTTGGCTCAATCCTCATTTTTATTTCTCAATGTTTTTTGCAAGAGATTGAATTTTCCGATAATGAAAAGCGAAGATTTACAGAAACTGGTAACTCTGAAACATCAAAATGGTGATTATCCGACGAAGATTTTTTGTGATTTGAATGGAATACTTAGTTTGGAGACTATTAAAAGATGGTGCAGAATGATTGACGAAACTGTTTCTATCAATTTAAGATCACCACCAGGTCGTCCACGTATAGCTCGAACTAAAAGTGCTATCAACAAGGCCAAAAAGAAGCTACAACAAAAAAAAGGTATCAAGTAGAAGTCTTGTACTTGAACTAGATATATCTCGAACAAGTGCTCAACAGATTCTTCGGGATGATCTTGGCTGTCGACCATATAAATATTTGGTTGAACCAGTACTTAACGAAGATTTCTTCGGTCTTGTCGAACTCACCCATCGCGATCATCAACAATCCCATTCGATGGACTCTTGTCTGTCCTCGAATCACTGCTCGTATGTGTTGAGTGAGTTGTTGATATTTATCACTGGTGAGTGTGAGATTAATTTGAAACAATCTTGGTTCGATTTGTTTGATTTCTTCGGTTTGAAAGACAATGTGCATCGAAAAGAGAATTTATTTTTCTTGAGTTTTAAGTAACTGAAGTTGTCGATAGAGGCGAAAGGCGTGGTAAAGTGAGCTTAATCGAATCTTGATCTCAAAGAGAATAGTCGTGCGATCAGGATTATCTCGAGCACGACGAGAAAAAATTAAAGACTCTTCTCTATCGATGAAAGTTGATAAGAAGCTTTTCAAAAATCTTACAGTTAATTAATAGTTTGGATTGAAATAGTTTGTTACAACTCGATCATGATTATCATTACATTTAATATTCACTTGTTCAGTATTTTTCGGAATAGCCCATAAAAGTATCTATTGTACTCTTGAATAAAAACGAAATTGAATAAAATATATACAAGGATTATTATTCATCAAACGTACAATAGTGGAAACATAAACGAAAGTAGTAGGAGTCAGCGGATCATATGAATTTAATAGAATAATCATATATTGTGAATAATATTGATCGAATGAACTTGTCGTTTGAGTAAAACATCTGTTTTATGCTTGCTCCACGTCTATTTATTATACAATTTGCTCATAAAATTTGAACAAATTATAATTATCTGCATAAGTTGCTTGATTGTTGGTTTAAATGCTTCATAATCTTTTATTAAATGTTTTATTATGTATATTCTTTCGCATATTGATTGAATACTTGATGTTCATTTAATAACAATCCATTCATTCTCTAATCCAAACACTTATATACATATATTTTTATGATAATTTCATATTTTTCTTTTGTGCTTTCATATTTGTCTCTCAGTTTTTTTTGTTTGATTCTTTTTCAAAGTAATTAAGAGGAGAGGTTCGATGAGACCATCGAGGATCATGCTAAAAATCGAAGTACTCGTTAAAATTTAGTTTTTTAATTGGATGTTCTCATCTTGTTCAGCATTATCTAAAACCTCACACTAAAATAAAATGTGTCTCATTATGTGTCGCAAAGAATACCTCGTGTCGTATTTCTTGCGTTCTTCACTATATATATATCCAACGGAGAACGCAAGAAATACGGCACGAGGTGCTCGTTGCGACACATTTTATTTTAGAGGGCTCTAAATCTAAATTTTCACCCCTAATAATTATCTTACTATTCAAAAGTAATGTGGACAACGAGTTTTTTTTCTGTGCCTCTTTTCTCCATAATTCGGAGAGTCCTGATTTTTTTAGTTAAAGCAGTGCAATATTGAAAGTGATTAGAATGCTTTTTATTGTTTTTTTAATAAACTTTTCTAGACAAAGGTTTGGATGGATATCTCTCAAATTTCAACTAAAAATGCACGGAAATTATTCAAAGAACAAAATGTTATATTGATTAGTGATTCGATCTTGCGCGGATTGTGCAAAGACTTAGCTTACATTTTATCTGATCATGACCATGTAGTTTATTTGATTGAGCTGAAATTCAATCGTCACAAAGAGCACAAAGAAGGAATGTTTGGTGAACGAATTGATTTATTTTTCATAAACCGTACGAATAGCATTAATAATATAGAAAAAAGAACATTACAATCTGCGGAATTTAATTATTATGTCAGATGTATTTTCTCAAGCCGAATTTGGAACAATCAGATGGAGCAGACTATGTTATCCATCAAAAACTATGATATTGTTTTATTAAGAAGTCAAATTTGGGATTTAACAAGATATGGTGAAAGTGGTCATGAATTTTATTTGAAGAATCTTAATATTTGTTGTACAAGACTAAAATTCATGGAAAAGAACGTAATTTGGGTTACAACATCGCCTGTAGATGATAAAAAAACATCTATTTTTACATGATCTACTGTTAAAAATGAATCCATTAGCACTTGCCAAGGCAGAATAGTATAATTTTCATATATTGGGTTTGAACAAAGAATTAAAAAATTATATAAATTTACGTACAAATGATGGTATATATCGGATGTCACACGATCATAGATTGATGATGCAATATCTGATCACATGTATATCACAACTTCCAAAACAAGAATTCATAAATGCTATTTATCAAACATCATCAATTGAAGATAAAAATAGCACTATAAATATTTTGTTAAGTAAGTTCACTTTCTTCTGATGCCTCTCTGTAACAATATATACATTTGTATAATATAGGAAATGATAAACGGTGTCAACGTGATGCACGAACGTAAACTTGTAGGAATCGATTTTACAATCTACATAGTACATTTCATCATCAGACAAACAGGTGTACCCCAGTAAGCGACAACAAGGAAAAACAAGAAGATAAGCTTTATTTTAAATGAATAAAACTAAATCACAAGCTGAAGTTTTTGATGTTGCGGTTGGAGCTGTCTGAAAGGCACTTAACTGGTAGCAACAATTTATTTTTCATGTTTCTTTTCTATTCATGTAAAATAAAATAGAAGAAAATGTAACTTCGCACATAGCTAAAACACTCCTGCAGATGTAAAGACTTTGCATATCGATCCAGATGAAACAAACAAAGACGAACAGTTTGAAATATTTTTTAAATTCACCTTGATTTTTAACTTATATTTCGAGCTCAAAACAATCGATTCAATCAAAGCATTCTTTAACTTTATTATGAAATTTTTGTAAGAAAAAATGTAAAATTAGTTATATTTTAGAACATTCCGAAACGATCATTCAATTGAATTTTCAAGAGAAATTCTACCTCAGACACTTATGGGAGCTGTAAACATTTTAATCCATTAACTTGTCTTGCAATTTCAAAAAATCTGATTGAACGTTAATCTTTTGTATCAGCGTACATGATTATGTAAATAATTACTTTTAAACTGTAAGATATAAATATTACAGAAACATGTCAACGTAAAACATTAGTGAATGGACACTCAAGTTCAGTTACAAAGAGAAGAGAAAATGAATTTATACATTGTTGCATTTAGAAGAAATCTATCAGTGTAAAAAAGCTAGGACTTTTCATTTTTCTCTCGTGTTCCACCTCGAACTGAGCATGCGTTATTTAATTGATCATAAGATTGGTCAAGTTTTAACATGACTATAGTAGAACTTCAGAACTAATAATTAATTTTACCTCAATAATATGCTGCATGTATCTATTTTTTCAATCTTTATAGAGCGTAGGTGTGCGAGAAAAAGAGATGCTTATACGGAAAATCTTTTAGATACTTCATAAACTATTGAAAGTTCTGTTTTTCAACAGAAAAAAATACTCATAGTGATTTTTCTCTATAAATACCGATGATAGTTTGAACCGCCACTACCAAACTCTGCATGGCACATACCTTTTGATTAATTCATCTTATTATGTCTTAAAAAATTCCATTAATGATGTAACCAAGAAGGAAGTTAAGTCCATCCCCATCGATCGAAGCCATGCGACCTAAATTTTGCCTCCAGCTTCTCTACCAAACAGAGTTTGAATGAACAATTCAATTTTAAATAGGTTACGTTTTAGTTTTAAGATGAAAACTTGTGTAATAAATAAATAGCTGGATCACATTATTCTCATTATCGATTTTATTTATATCAAAGCAAGAAGAAAAATGATTAAATGGCAATATAAAAAAAAAATAAGATAATAAAAGAATGGAAATATTTTTAAACAAATATCCAAACACAACATTTTCGTCGTTATTCACATAGCTTCAAATTCATCGATACGTCGTTTAACTAAAAGAAAAACAAATCAAAATAAAATAATTATGTTAAGAAAAACACAAATTACTTACCAGTTCCTTCACGTATTTTTTTCAATGTTTTATATTTATCAATACCTCTGTCAATAGTATTCTCCCGATAAATCTTATCTTCACGTGTATCGGCTTTTTGTTGTTGTTGTTGAAGATTTCTTCGTTCTTCCTATAGTAATAAAATAATAATTTAAACAAAAATTATTCAATTTTTTTTCCATCATCAATTGTGATCATTCAAAATAAGCATAAACAGCACGAGAAAATTACAAATTCATCTACATGTGTTTTATTATCAAGTGTAAAGACTAAAAAACAAAGCTTGTTTATTTTTTGTCTTCTCAAATGAATACAATACAACTTCATGTGTTTTAACATGTTATCTTCGCAATGAGAATAGAAAAAGAATCAAAAAGATTGAATTTTTCAAATGATAATAATACACCACTATTGGCTTCTATACACACAAATAAATAATAAGAAAACGAATAGAGAATCAATTCATATTTAATAAATCAAAATAAAAAGCGGCGAGTTTTCTGTAAAGGAGAGATTGTTAAGCAATGAAATTGGTCCCATCTCGAAACTGAATTTATTATTTCTTCAATGGTCAATTCACATGTTACTGGTAGATTGCCGTTCGAATTAGACCATTAAATTTCATTCCAGCGATGCGCAGCTGGCTCAAAACTCAATATTATCGATCTCTGACAACTTTATGCTATGCCATGCTCATATGAAAAGTTTGTCTACCTTCTTCAAAATATTGTTCTTTCCATTTTCTTTTAGATGATATAGTTCGCTTGTATGTACAAGATCTGCTTTTCACAGCTCTACAAAATGATGCTATTGCATTGAGCTTAATTCATGGGCAAGACATCTTAGTCAAACGTATAATGTTCAGGAGTGCTAAAAATTGCTCTTTTTGATTGATATTTGACGGATTTGGGTCAGAATAGTTAGGGTTCCTTTCAGAACACATGATATATTTAGAATTAGCATAAAAAACTGAGTGGATCTATCTGTGTTAGAAGATACTCGAACAACTTTTTTTCGTCTAAAAAGTTAGTCCTGGTCCACTTCAGGGTTATTCCGAAAAATAAAGTCAATCAGAGCATTGTTTTTATTATTTATTTATCTATCATTTTAGATTTTTCTAGGTCTTTATTAATTTAGAAGTGATTTTTCATTGTCAAAACCGATGTTTTTGACTGACTTTACTTTTCGACGGAATCCTGAGGGGGCCACGATTAAATTTTCGGATGAAAATGATAGCTGTTGAAGGATGTTATGACTCAATGTATATCGACTCAGTTTTTCATGTTAACTCCAAATATATCATTTGTTTTGATAGAAAGCTTGATTGTTCTGGCCAAAATCTGTCAAATTTCAGTCGAAAAAAAGGCAACTTTTGACACTCATGAACAGTACACATTTGACTAAAATATCTTACCACAACTTAAACTAATGCAATAGCATCATTTTGCAGAACTTTGAAAAGCCTATGAAATAATGTATAAATCAAAGTTGATCGCCGCTTTTGCAGCTCAATAGTGAGGAAGCTTTGTCATGGATGTCTTCATATTGTACATACATTCGAACTATGTCATCTAACAGGAATGCGAAGGAACAGTATTTTGAAGAAGGTAGACAAACTTTCCATGTGAATGTGACATAGCAGAAATCTGTAGAAGATCGATAATATCACACTTTGAGCCAGCTGTGTGCCGATAGAATGAATGTCTAATAGTCTAATTCGAACAACAATCGACTTCTGACATTTGAATTGACTACTGGAGAAATAATAAACTCAATTTTTCATCGACACATTTTTTTTGTATATTTCTCTCTCGAATCATTATTTTTATTGTTTTGTATTTGTCTCAACCTGCTGCAACACTGTTCGTGTATACAATCATTATCAGTGAGTTGGTATGAATTTTCAACAAAACCTAATTCATCTTCAAGAGTCTGAAACAGCGATATAGCCAAAAGCGTGTGCAAATTGATTAGTGAAAAAAAAGGGTGAGTAAAACAAACGAATAATATTAATTACTTCAAGTTTTTGTTTTCTACTATGATCTCTCGACATTACAGTTGTACGCTTTTCTACATAATGTGGTATATTTTCATCTGTATAAAGTTCTACATCTACAACAAGAAAAAAGAAAAGAAAAAAAACAATTCATTTAGTTTTAATTACCTTGTCCATTACGACCTATGCTATTGTCTTCTTCATCAGTTTCGACATCATCGGCAGGCTGTTGATAGCGTTCTTTTTGTTTTGTATAATGATTATTATCTTGTTGTTGAGCTTGAAGAACCTAAAGATAGTCAACCTTACAATGCATATTTCTATGATGTTGAATTTTACATGGACATGACTTTCGGTATTTAAACTTTAATAGATGTGTGAAATTGAATTCAAATTTGAAGTCATAAAGAGATTCTGCGCCTCGAAATCAAGCTAAATAGGCTCATTCAAACGCAAGCTGTCATCGGATTAATGTACTCGAAAACAAATCGACGTCACAAAATACGACACACGTCATGTCGAATTTGAGGCTATAGGAGCATCTGAACTCAAATAGAAGGTATACATGAATGTGAATTGGAAGCATTCAGTATCTAGCAAAAGATTTTGAATTTTTCACTTATTTCTGAACTGTTATACATTTATGGTATATTATTAGACGGGTTAAAACAATTTATTTGAAAAATGCCAAATAAATAAATAAATTAAAATTATAACAATTTTTGTAGTTGATACACACGCTCCAAAATTCTATCATTTTGAAAAGGTTTGCATTCAGAATTATTTATTAGATTCCTTTAACATCGTTAAACTGAAAAAAACTCAGTTGTATTACCAGATATATTTTTCATTTCGTTGATTCAATCACCATATAAGCATGGTATACACATTAATTTAATTACTCAGTAAGCTTTCGAGTACACTATCTTTTCTCTCGACGAACTTTAACATATACTGTTGAGCTTTGTCTAAACTTAGCATTCAATTGCTCCATACTTTTCTGCGTCTGTCCTGTTCTGACTCTGCTAGAATTACTAGCACACCTTTCTCCGTTGCTATAAAAACGTACACAATGATCTTTAGTTTCTCTCCTACTTCCGCTCGATAAAACTTAGAGGAAACCGCAAAAACCTCTATTTAAACTTACACTCACTATTTTCGTCGAAAACATGTGTGATTTCCATAGAAAAAATGAATGCTTAGGAATCCAGCTCTGATATTCTTCTCATGTCTTGGCAATTTCCTTGAATATATGCCCGATTAACAATAATAACACTGCTTTCATAGAAAGCAATGCCAAACTTAAATGTGCGTATGTTGAGGTATGTACACAAGTATGTTTTGACCTTTCAGAATCCTTAGGTTTTATTTTCATGCAAATCATTATTAATTTCCGTGATGTGATTTAGGCTAGAGCATGATCAAATCTCTATATAAACAAAATTTTGGAATACTCAGAATGTCAAATAGATTTGGAATGTTTGCATTACAAAATTTGATACGAGTAGAGATAGGCAAAACCAATCCCGAAAAAAAATCGTAGCCCGATTCCAATTCCAGCTGACAAAAGAATTTGAAATCAGAATCATCTTTATCGACAATGATGTACTTTTATTCTTTACTAATCAAATAACAACTAAAGTGGTCATTCAGGAATTGACTTTAATAAAACAATAGAAGACAATACTAGATCTTTCTAGTATATGGTATATTCAAGTCAATGATCCACAGGAATAATTTACATATACTTTTTAATTCTTAAAGGGACGATTCTGATTCTAAAAAACAACGTTGACTTTGCCTATCCCTAAAATCAAGACTCTACTATGATAATAATACTAGAAGAAGGCCCTTCATTTCTATCTCACAAAAGAACAATAATTAAATAAGAAGGATTAATCATCGATTTCCAGAAGAATGAAGAAAACATTTCTTGCCATTGAAAGAAGAAAGCAAAGCAAACTGGATCAAAACCTACTCTCATTTGTGTTTCTCGTAAATCTTCTTCAATTTGACGTGCTTCATTCTCTTTTCGTTGAGCTTCTTGTGCGTTTTCTTCAGCTAATAAACGAGTTTTTTCAATTTCTTGAACCTTTTAAAAATAATATATAAAAAAAGTTCTTTTTTTTATGAATGTTTTTTATCAGCGTAAGAATAAGAAACAAGCGAACTACATATTATCCTATAGATTTTTTTGTCATAGTTTTTTCTACTATACATGCTTTTTTGATTTTCCTATTATGTGCATCATGCTTTTTTTCTCTATATAAGTGATATAAATATTTATACCCAAAAACAAACGGGATTGTTCAAACGCCATAATTGCTGAAAAGATTAAAATAAAAATGTTAATACAATAATCAATTTATCGGACAGATTGGATGAACAATATTTTCTATCTCTTAAGAAATGTGAAATAGAAGTAATTTCAAAAGACTTTTCCTTTGACTGTATCAGCTCTACTATTTAATGTAGTACATTGTAAACCAAGGTGGATAAATCTTGAGAGGTCCGATCATCCGACAAAACGGACGGAAGTCCGAGTGACGAAAATACCGATGATCAACTTGAGGAATATAGCCAATAGAATTCAACACTCGGATTGTTCTGTTTCTCAGAGTTCAAAGTTCGCCTCTGCTTAGGCGGAAAGTAAGCTCAATGTGTAAACTCGAAATTTGAAGTTCAATTTTTGTGTCCCCACTCATCAAATTAGTACTCGATTCCAACACTAAGATCCGATCAAATTCTAATACTAGAGACCGGTATGTGATTCCGTGATTCAGTTTCTAGAATATTCCTACAGAATTCTATCAAACTTTATAGCATTCCGACTGGATGTAATAAGATCTGACTGTCGGATTGATTCTGCTAGGAAGAACAAAAGAAATGTTTAAATCTTTGAAGATGTAGATGTGAGTGAAGAGAAGACTAGATCCTACACTTGCACTCTCAAGAGGTGAAAACAAGTTTGAATGAGAAGGCTATGAAACATGTTATTGAAAATATTGCGATTCATTGTTGATGTATGGTAACGGATTTTTCTGTAATAACAGTAAATCCAAAAACTTTCAATTTATAGACTCCGAGATTCTAAAGGATTCCCTATAATTCTATTGAGTACCCAAGAATACCTGAAAATCTAAAAAATTCAATAGGATTCTCGAAAATTAGCTAGAATATCCTAAGCTTCCAGGATTCTGCTTCTTCACCCTTGCATCAGAGATACACTATAGAATAGTATGTTTACATTTTGAAGTTATTATGTTCTTCTTTAGAATATACAATTTGAAACATTCGATTAGTAGTGTTCAAATTTTGTTTACTCTCGTTATTACAAAAATTGTTTCTTGATGGTTATAATTATTGTTGAAAACTTTATATGACAAAAGACAAAAATTCTGTATGATCATAAATTTTTGTTCATTTAACAATTAAAAAGAAAACATCACATAAAAAGTAATGACTCAAATGAGAAAATTGTGCCTTAAATATGAATACACAGATGGAGTGAGTATTAATCATCAAATATCTAAACCAATGTCCACAGCAGACTTAAACAAGGGTAGTATAAGCTCAATAATTTGACAACGGCAACAGTTATCAATCTGCAGGTTTTAGCGTTTTTGTCTGATACCATATAAGACAAAATTATTCTACAATCCATCAACTTTTCGAAATACTCAAAAAAAAATACATGAAAATAGTGTTTCATTTCAAGAAAATTTTCATAAAAAGTCATAAAATTACTAAAAATCAAAAGAATTCTAGATAATTTGACTGGATAGATACGTGATTTAGTTTGTTCAACATTGAAATATGAGAAGACAATCACCTGAATCGTGCCTTGAACTAGAGATCTCAAGCATATATCAAAATCAAAATTACACCGAAACGAAACACTATTTTCATATATTTTATTTTTGAATTTTTTGTAACGATGATGGATTTTGAAATAATTTTGTCTTACATAGTATTATACAAAAAGACGTCCGAATTTCTCGTCTTTAGATTTTTGAAAACCGCAAGTCGCTAAATGTTTCTGTTGTCAAGTTATTAAGATTACATTCACCTCTCTTTAAGTCTGACGCGGACATAAGTTTTATCTCTAACTAAACGCTTTGTTCGATTCAAACTACAAGAAAATCTAACTAATACAAATTACTTTAGTAAAAACCAAGCTTAAGATTACCCATGACAAATTGCACTAGGTTTTACTGAATAAAGGTCTAAGCTTTAATAAAGATTCTCCTAATTTCAATGATCAAATTCTCACGAATTATATTCAATTCATGGATCAAAAATAACTTTTGCGCGAGGAAGGTTTTCAAAATGAGAATACAAGCTAACATGTCCGCGTGATTTTTAAATTGTAGAGTACCCTTAGAGCTAGACCGTAATAGAGTTCGATGTATGAATCTCTTTTTGTTTGTTTTTAAAAACAACTTTTTCGAAAAATTCTGAAATTCACGGTCAAAATAGTCACTAATTAAAATCAAAGATTCAAAAATCAGGCTCTATTACAATCTAGCCTCAATTGTCTACTGTATAATAAAAACCAAATTACCATTTTTATATTGAGTCGTTGCTAAGAAAAGTTTTCCCGTGTAAACAGTAAGAAAAAACAAAAAAACAATATTTTTGATTTAGTAAGTGTCTCTATTCGAAATAAGTCTGGATTATGTTATATAATATTTTCGTGCTATTCGTCAAGCTTTGTTAGATGAGATATATGTAGATTTATCAAAATGCTCTTAGAGGTACGTATCATGCCAAAGTTATAGTCATGATTTCTTACATATAGATGTAGGATAGATGTGAGAACAAAGCCTCTAGTCTACACACAGCCCACATCCATATTGTGCTAGTTTAAAGTTCATTGCAAGGTTTATCAGAATATGTTTAAATCTCGAAATCGAGTTTTTCTTGAAAAATTGACTTGTTTGAGGAGCATCTCTCTCTTAACTATAAAATTCAATAAATAAATTCGACATACAATTTTCTCTTTTTCTTGTTGTTCATATTGAATTCGTTCCATCATTCGTTGTTGTTTTCTTTCATCTTCTTCTCGTTCTCGTTGTAAACGTAATTCAGCTTCTTCAACTTGTCGACGTTTATTTTCCATTTCATTTTTCATTGTATTTTGATCTTCAAATGCTTAAAACAAAGAAAAACAACAATAACAACAATAATAGCAATTAAATTAATCTCAAGTAAAACTAAATAATAAACGAGCATGATAGAAAGCTAATAATCAGAAAAAAAAATCATTTTGTTTTTCAGAATATTATCTTACATTCAGTCTCAGTAGACTGTGTAAATAAACGTGGTGGTTTTTCTAAAATAAATTAAACGCTAAGATGTGTATCCTATTCTACAAACCTTGTCTAGCAATTTGCGCACTTCTTTCAAGTTCTTCAATTTTTCTCTGTAATACTTCACGTTCTTGTTCTACTTGTTTACGACGTTCAACTTCAGTTTTAGTTCGTTCTCTAAAATATAAATTAATAATAAAAATTTGATTTTTCATTTCGATCATACCGTTGTTCACCAAGCGCTAATTTTTTTGCTTCTGCTTGAGCTTTAATTTGTCGTAATTCCATTGTTTCTGGTGTTCGACGACTCATATACAATTCATGATTACCCATACTTAGAGATATCATTTGTCGATTAATACGAAGTCTTGGTACAATAAAAACAAAATCTGGAGAACTTCTATCGATTGGTTTTATGAAAAATTTTTTTCCATTAAATGTTATATTTCGTATTTCACCCCATGCAAAACCAATTTTAGGTGTTAATCTTAATGAATAAAATTAATGCACAAAAAAAAATAATCGTTTTCAATGTATTTGTTTTTTTTACTTGTCGTCTGTATCATAAATATTAATACCAAGTGCATCGATGCCAAGATAAAGATTTGTACCATTTCTATTTTGAATCTCAAAATAAGTTACACCATACATATCAAGATCTTGAACAATTTTAAGATATTCAAGCATTGCATCTTCACTAAAAGAATCAACAGACTTATCTCATGTAATATATATATATATCGTTTCTAATGAAGATTACTGAAATATGAACGATACTCTAGTATAAATTATTATGGGAAATACTGTGTGAGAAATTGATATATCTTCTATCACGATATAATAAGGTAACGATTATATGACTATATATTAATGTGTTCAAAACTATAAAACATATGTCAGTTTATTTCACAGCATTTTTAGTTTTTATTCTTTAAAGTAGAATTGAGCAGAATAATATGTCATGATTTTGCAAAGTACGGTAGGGAAAGAAGAATATGCTGCCTTGCAGCTACTTTACTGTATGAGCTGCTGCCTAGCGACAGATTCAGTAACTCGGTATCTTTCTTACAATTATAACTAGGTATAAATCTGGACAGAAGGCCGGTCGAATGCGGAATTCTTACAATCAATTGCTTGAGCTCTCGATACATATATACTAAAACTAACTACATACTAGTCACAAGAACAGGTATATGTCACAACATAGTCAGCAAGCGATCGGACAAACAATCAGAGACAAATAGCAATTAATGATTTGTCTAGGATCATTCTATGACTGGTAATAATGAGGTTTGCACATAGTACTTTGTAGATATGTATTGAACAATGTAGACACTCAGCCATGGTGGCTATACAGTAGGGTAAGGGTTAGAAAATTTTTCTCAGTCAGGTTACAGAGTACGGGAAAATCTTACCCTGAACATCTCTAGATATAGTTAAGCTATCTTAACATTTACTTTCCTATTTCAATAAGTGGCTAGATAAATTTGTCATTTTCTCTTTGAGTTTTATATGGAAGTTTAATTTTTGGAGATTATATTATTGATAATAATAATTACTTTCGAAAACTTATATTCGTCTCATCAATCTACAGAAGACGCAGCGTGACCTTGACTAGTTAAATACAAATCATAGAAATGACTGTTTTCTAATAACAGGAAACCATTACAGACTGTATATCTCATGTCTAAAAGCATTGTTAACATTCTAGATTTTAGACACCTCCGATTAATTTTATTTATGTAGCTTCTAACTTGTTATTATGTCCATTCTACTTCATCCGTCGAATTTCAACAGGTTTTTTTCTTCTAAAGTTTAGAGTCAATTCTAAATCTGCTTCTTTTCCTAATTTGATTTCTATAATCATGATATTCCTATTATACAAACTATTTGAAAGATAATTTTTTTCTGATTTCAATATTTTAAAAATTTTTTCTTGAGACTATCTCACCTCGTAAATCCTTTATGTTCTCTCCACCAATTCATAACACGTTTTTCCCATTCTTCATTTGATAAACGAAATTGATCCTGAACACGTCCAGGTAAAAGCCGTTCCTTGGTTAACATTCCCGGCTTATGTTTATTTTCATCATAATCTTCATATTTAACTTGCACAGCATAAGAAGCAAGTAGAACACATGTTTCAGGTGGACAATAAATTTCATCAGTAAGAATTGAATTTTTTACTTGACGATAAAAAAATCTCTAAAAATATAAAAGTTCTTCATTTAAAAAAGAAAAAGAGGAAAAAGAAAAAAATATTACTTAAAACAATCTAAAACTATCGAGATTTGAACATATAAACTTCATAGAAAAGAATTAATCAAGTTTTTATTTCATCAAAAATTAGAAATAATGTCTTTCATTATTTTCAAATACTTCAACTATTTGAATTGACTTATTAGAAATAACAAGGTATATTCATTTAAATTTCATAATTTCATGATTTTGACTACAATCACTAAAAAACAAAACTTTGAATTTCTTTTAGACGCTAGACATTGTATGCATATATCAAATCAAAAGCTTTTAACTGATGACAATATAATTAGTATATTTTCGAAGTCGTAGTATTTCAAAGCCTTATCATGAGTATGTATCTCTTCATTAACAAACAGCAGTTAGATATCAGTCATTGTTTGCATCCTGATTTTTCTTACAAGGATTTATAAACATATATATATATATATGTATACGAAATTATAATTCATGTGTCATTTGATGTGATCAATTAAAACAATTACAGCTACTCTAAAAATCCTATAGATCAATATTTTAAGTCACATGGGGGGAAGTTCTTTCACTAGCTAACTGGATGGCATGTTTCAAGATGTGGCCAATTCTTGTCTAATCAAACTTAATCTTCCAGTATAAAAAGCCATGGCGAAATTCACATTGCTCATCCAAAGGTGATCTTCTATTGCAAGCTAGGGTTTTTACTAGTATTTACCTAGAAAACCAAGAGATTAGATTTTTAGGCACTACAAACCCTCAAAATCCATTGGATTTTCAAAAAAAAAAAGGTTTCAGAAAACTCATGCTCTTCTATTCTGGAAGGAGAATTAGAAGTGATTAGCTATTACTATGTTACAGAATCGATATCTTTCTTGTTCAAAATTTGATGAATTTTCTATTTATATTGAAGTTTGTTCGAATCGGTCAAAAATCAGTTTACCTAACTGAATATACAATAAGTCATACTTCGTCTTTTACTTCAAATAATTGTAAATGATTTTCTTAATGGTGATACGACTCAGTCAAATTGATACACTTATATTACATCAAATACAATATGAGAATCATCATTGCTGAAATAAAGACTTTGTTTATATTGTCTTGAGTAGAGGTTTCATCAGACAGTGTTTTATGTTCGATCTCTTCTAGATCTTCGGGAAACACTATCAACTAAAGGATGCCCAATAAATTAGGAACCTCAACAAAAATTAGTGTATATGTAAACAAAGAGTGATCCTAAGTATATCTATATGAGCTTTGAGCATATAGAATGATGCTTTAAATAGCATATTACCCGATAACATTATCTCTTTTAATAATAATGATATCAACAGAAGAAACGTGATAATTAATACATCGAAATCGACTTGTATTTTTTCAAGAAGTTTTAATGAACTATGAGTTCATCATATGTAACGTAACACAATCATACAAATCGATACGTAGTATTTCGGGTGTACGTATGGCTATCCTCTGCATCCACACGCTAATTATCACATTTCTGCTGTTTATATCACTATTATTAAAAGAGATAATGTCATCGGATAATATGTCATTTAAAATATCGTTCTAAATATCCGAAGCTTATATAGATATAGTTGAATAGGGATCACTCATTGTTTACATATAAACTAATTTTTGTTGAGACTCAGAATTTATAGGATACCCTTTATTTCATGACTATACTGAAAGATAAAAAATCATAGCCGAAAGCTAAAATTAATTTATCATATACTCTGTTTTTTGGAAAACACGATCTAAAAGAAGTGTTGATGTATAGGAATGGATATTTGGACTCTCCTTCCCACCACAGATCGTAACAGAAGCTAGATAGAGACCATCATAGACGCCTTAGTAATACTTCCCTCCCCCTCCTCCCGTCGCGTCACAAATTGTGACCAACTTTGTTGATATACAACCAAAGAGCATATGTCAATAACGTTTCGTTATAGTATATAAGCTACTTCCTTATATCGATGTTACGCTACCACGATTGATATAGGTCAGCCTGGAATCCTGAACATTGGGACTTAGGGAGACGGGATCTAGGTGAGGATGCTCAGCAACAAGTACTTAAGCGCTCACACAACCAAAACTTTCATTATCAAGAGTTTTCAAATCATCGACATCCGTCGTGATAGTTCATTGTCATACATAGTCTCACATTAATCTTCACTATTGCATTTCTAAAGGATTGAGTAAAAGGATGGTAAAGAAATGTGTCTCGAAATAGTTAGAATAAAACAATTTTTCTGTACCAGTAGCTATATTGTGTTTCATATTTTAATTTCATAGAGATTGTGCTAACAACTTTTTTGTTAAGTATGAAATGCTGTACGCACTTGAAAATAGGAAAGAAATTTTTTAACTGTGACAATATCAGTTGAAGAATGGTGATTCATTGAAAAAAATAGAGAGCATTGTTAGTGTTAGAAATATATTTGTAAAGGAATTTTCTTCAAATTTTCTATAAATTAATAGAATATCAATCTCGATATTTTTAGATTATCCTATGTAAAATTATTGTTTTCTTATACTTGAGTTATTTCTTCAATAAGTTCTGATACATCTTCGGGAAAAAATCGAACAAGAAAGACAAATTGTACTACTTCTAATTCATTTTTTTGTTCTTTTTGTACATCTTGACTAAGAATTTTTTTATCAGGTCTAAGCCAACAAGTAACATTTTTTGAATCCGTAAATCGCAGACCGAAATACCATATTTCACGAATGCCAACATTTTTAGCAACCTATAAATAAATATTAAATACATATATTTGTGTTGTATTTTATTATTATAAATTTTTTACTTGATCCAATAATTGTTTACCGGTGGTATTTGGGTCTATGCTAAAGTCGAATTCAAACTCTACTGAAGTTACATGTACATTGAACTAAGAATAATAAGCAAATTAAAGATAAAAATCTTTGAATAATATCTATTTATTGTAATGTTAGAGATTTTTTAAAATAAATGAAATTTTTCTCATGAAGTGCATCCTAAAATCATATATAATATTGTTGAGAATCTTTTCTTCTCTCAATTAGTTGAATAAATAATATTTGATTAAAATCTAATCATTCTCACTTTAATGTAATTAAGAGAAAATAAATCTTTTTTAATAAATAAATAGATCATCGATCAAGTAATCATTTCCATTTTTATCATTATATCTTGCTTATCAAATTCTTTTACTGCATTTCATCATAACAATACACTGCTGTTTCATTTTCTCATATTTAAAAAATTGATTCAGAAATTTATAAGCGACTGACGACACAGTTATTATTGTTTTTTTTTTCTTAAACCTTAAAATTGTAGAACAAATCATAGATATATTTAATCATGATTCATCCTTATATTGTAGCATTGTATTAAATCGGATATTCTGTTTTCTTTGTGTATAACTTGAATTTATATTAAGAAAATCTCATATACCTTTAATCTTGACTTACCGATTTTTTAGGTGCCATTGTTAAAATATATTATTGTATTTATTTCACGGTTTAATCGATGTTGTTTAAAAATATTTTACACATAGAGATATCTCCCCTGTCCGTAATCGTCCACTAAGTATATGTAGGTGTGTATATGAGTTTATCTAAAACGAATAAGAGAAAAGAAAAAGAGATAGAAGGAGAACAAAGCATTGTGACTTATGTCAATAGTAGGTGCTACTATTTGAGAAAAGAAGAAAAAATGCTAAGCGAATATGTGATTCATTGAAACGAACAAATGATGTCATTATCATTTCTCTTCTTGAAACGTAATTTTTCTACTGGTTGATGTCAGCTTGATGAGCAAGTGACGAATTAGAATAAAAATATTTATTCCGTTTTATCATGTGACATAGCGAACGAAAATGAGTATTTACTATGAATCAGCATGATATCACACGAACTAAACATGTTTCCCATACCATCGATCAATCATAGAAAAGGATCAGAACAGGTTAAATTTTGATTAATATTTGTCATTATCTGAGTTTTTTTATTTTAACATATACCGGTAATTTGTCGCAAGCATTTCAATGTCTAGTAAAATGAAATTCAAAGAAAAGAAGAATATAGAAAAAAATGCAAAAAAAAAAGCTTTTTTTGTTTTGTTTAAAAAGTTGTCTTCGACAAGGACACGGGAAAAAAATGAGTATGAAAGTTATATTCTTATCATTCGTTCTTACATATTAACGATTCAATAGAAACCTTCTATTTGAAAAAAAAGAAAGATATAACAAGACTAAGTTATATCATAAATTCATCTTCAAACACATATCGAATAGAAGAAAAAAAGTGATCGATTATGTTAATTATTCTTTTCAAGACTAGTGCGTCATCTTGACTTCATGAACACATAGTTGTACAAGTTCATCTGTGTGGAATGAGTAAAACAAAAAAAAAGGGCGTTGTTTTAAATCAATGGTATTTCTTTAGTTTTTCAATATTTAGATTATTCATATTGATGGATAATTATTCAATATAATCATAATTAATATCTAAAAATTTTTTATAATTATTATATAACTAATAATAGACTTACCTAATACGATATTATCGTTTAAATAAAAGTTATAGATCTTGTTTCTCTTCTTCTTTTTTTCTTGTTTAATACATATTTAAGACGAAATCTTACACATAAATATAGAGTAGTTATTATTGCCACGGTTTCAACAACAAATATAGAGTGAACCAACAACAAATGAAAAAAAAAAGAGAAGAAGATAAGATGATAGTCAAATTCTGTGTGTATGTAATAAAAAAGAAAGAAATGAAAAAGAAATAACAGGCATATACACTGTAAATAATAAAAAGACGAACAGCGGTGTCGATGAAGAAGGTTCGTATGATTTCAACTATTAATTTACATTGTAGAAAAAAGAGAATTTTCATCTACCTGTATCTATGATGAAGACGAAAGAGAAAAAGAATACGAATAGACAAATGATACTACAAATGTAGGCATTGATTCTAATGAGAGAAAGAACATGTCATTTTTATACAATATGATCATTGAAAGTTTAAAAAAAAAAATCTTTTGAATTTTAATAAAATTAATCAATACGATGTTCTTCTAGAGTTCCTATCACATCTCAAAATAAAAATTTGTATCTTATCATCATCTAGACATTCACAAGAAGGAGTTGTACCATTTGAAATTTGTTTTGAACTTTTCATTCAGTTATAGAAGCACTTTTTTTGCACTTTGTAACGTCGCCAACGAAAAGTAAATCGCCTGTTTTTTTGAAAAATCTAGGCATGCTCAGAAAAAAACTTTGGATAGAGATTTTTTAGCTGCAATAGTTATCTACACTTAACTTTCAAAAATGTTGCCTCAATTCGAATTTTTTTTTTTCTTAAACTAAAATGCATGAAGTAAAAGTCGATGTCCTATTTAACATTAGTTTTTAGCTAATAACTTCTCTAAACAAAGATCTCTAGTGCTAATTTTTTTTTCAGGATATCTAGAGTAACTTAATATACATATTATATATAAAAGATTAGCTCTAGAAAAGTTTTGTGAAATCACATCAGTAACGACTGATTTTGACCATACATAGAAATACTTGCTGACGAAAAATATCACAATATTAAATTTAAATTAATCTATTAAAGATAATTTGTATAATTAGATAAAAATGAATAGTAAATTGAATTATCGAACTCTATGATTTATTAATATAAATAATATGAGTCAAAATATTTCGATAGGTACAAGTGAATTATTGGAGACATATTTCCTTCCAACTAGTTTCTGAATGATTTGTTTTAACTTAATTTTCTCAGAATTTAGCCCATGCAGAAAAAAATCGATTCGAAATTAAGTTCTTATTTGCCATTTAATTAAAATAAGCAAAATCAGTAATAGAAATAGTTTGAAGATTTGCATGTGTCTATTGTTCACCCATATCCTACTTGAGCAGATTCAGTTTCGATAGCGCCATTCAACACGTGTCTTGCTTATATACTTGACAAGTATTGAAAGCTTAGAGAGTTTAGGATCTCCTGATTCCGTTTCGTGATGGCAAAACGACGAATGACGAACAAGTGGCGACAGAAATAGCAAATATAACATTTAGATCAATGTTTGTGTTGTAGAATACCTTGTAAATTTGAATTGAAGAATAATATATATCTACAAATTTATTTGTTATTTTCATTGATTTTGATTGAAAGATTAGTTAGGGTTCAATTGAGAAATAATTAACATGGGATAATCGTGAAATAAGGATGAGTTAAAAGTAGTCCATTAAAATTTGTAATAGTTCATTAATATTATTTAACAGAAGATTTAATAAATTGATGAAGATCATTTTTTAATTTTAAGTACAATGTCTGATTACGTTTCACATGATCTTCTTGTAACCTATAAACTATCTCGGACTGTCAAATAAGAAATCTGCTCTAATTGTTCAAATCGATATCACATGTTGTACACAGCTCTAAATGTTTGAATCAGCACAGTGGTGTGAATAACGCACAATTCGATCAGCAGAAAGTATGATCCTTGATAGAAAAACTGATGAATTTTTAGAGTCTTATCATGGTTCTATGGGCGACTTGTTGAAAGTCCAGAAACTATTATCTTAGAATTTTTCAATAATACTAACAATTCTATTCTCATTATATTCGAGATTATTATTACAAGCATCAAGAGAAGATAGTAGTTTACATAGTAGTTACATAAACAGTATACGAGCATTGATATCGACATAAAAAGATGATCATTTGATTTGAATTAATGGAAAGAATGTCAGAATCATGAGTACAATATCTACATTAGTAGTTAAATATCGATTAAAGAAAAATCGTATTGAATTACTAGATATTAAAACAATAAGACTAAAACATTTCATTTTTAACGATAGAGAGTGTTTTCAAAATAAAATCAATCTAATCAAACTTCTTCATAATAAACATTGCTAAATTTATTAAACATTCAAAATCAAGGTCAATATTTCTAAGTTTGATCTACATAACTATGATAATATATAATCTATTCATTCTCGTGAATCAATCCAAACTTAAACTTTTGATAATATACAATATCTTCATGTTATTGTATAAGTATTTACTGAATAGAATTAAATTATTTTCTTTTTAAACAGCTAAACCAAAAACATTAATAATTGAAAAGATATTTTTATTTTCCCATTTAACTGTTACACATCCATCCGTTGTTCCATCCCATAAACAAGATAGAGCTGTATGTAAACCAAACTTTATATCTTTTGTTTTTTCACCTATTAAAACTGTAACAACATATTTCATTTGTTGATTAGTATTTCTATATTGAATTTGTTTTAATCGATGTAAAATTTCAGTTAAAATATCAATATTCCATTGACGTACATATTCATATACAAATTCTTTTTCACCTATTTTTTCATGTAAAACTTGTTTTATTATTATTTTTATTTCATCAATCGTGAACGACATAATACAATAAATAAGATAACAAAAGAGAAAAAAAAGATCAACGCGCTTTATTTAAACAATTTTATGTTCAATGACTGGATTATGAGAATATTCATGATCAATATGAACAAATGCCTAAATATGAAAGAAAACGAAAACATTTAATAAAACAAAAAAAAAAACGAAAATTTTAATTTAAATATACTCGTTCAACTTCAGGTAAATCTTCAAGTTTGTTTTGTAATGATTCTCCAATATCATGTGCTTCTTTAAGTAACATATCTTCAGGTAAAACAATATCAACTTCAACTAGATAGAATGAACCAAAATAAAAGGCTCGTACTGTATCGATTTTCAAAATTAATGGAGAATGATTATACGTTAACCACTAGAAATAATAACAACAAAAAAATAAAAAATAAAAAAAAGTTGTTAACCCAATCCTTGCAGGATTAAAATGTGATACACAATGTAACTGCTGTTACTAATTGTAGGAAAATAGTTTTATTCTATGCTATTGATATACGGTCTGTGATCATATATCAACAACATCTGTTATGGTCTGGGGGGGGGGGGAGAAGGAAGCTTTAAAGTGTTACCCCTATACTACAACACTCCTTTTAGATTGTGTTTTATAATAATATTTCTTTGAAAAAAAAATCTATTTACAGTTATTTGTGAAAGAAATTCCGGATCAGCTGTATGTCCACTTAAACGTTTTACTTGACCTAAACAAAAAAATATATGTATAATAAAGTCGATAGAAAAAATATATTCAACCGACCATTTGCTTGTTGAATCCATGTAATAATAATATAAAGTGAAATAAGAACAGCACCAATAGGATCGATGACAATGGCTTCTTGACTTATTTTATTTCTATATGCAAATGAACCTTAAAACAAAAAAAATATACTTTAACTACATTAAAATAATTTCTATATTATACCTATAAGACCACAAAAAAGTGCAACAATATTAGAACAAACATCATTACGATGATCAGAACTCAATGCTGACATAGTTGGAGTTTTAAGACGATAGCATAGAAGAAATAAAATTGCTTTACTAACAATTGTTATAACCATAACTGATACAGGTAATGCACTCATATCAATATTTGTTAAAGTTTTTGTAGTATTTTGCTGGGTAAAATATTGTGCATCATTAACAATTGTATTAACAGATTCATAAATAACCAAAACCGATGCAGCACACATTATAACAGATAAAATTACAATAGCTATTGGTTCAAGACGTGTACGACCTAAACATATGTTTAGTTTTTACAAAATATAATTAGTATAATAAGTTCTCACTTTATTAGTAAACATTCAAAAAAAGTCTTTCTATAAAAGATCTCGTAGATGTTAAGTTTAAAAAAATGATCTACAGTTAGCTACTAAGGAAGTCAATAGTTTTACTAATTAATTATTGAATCAACAAAAAATTCGATTTAAACAAAGGTTTTATGGGAAAATTTTAGGAAGGAAGTTGTTCACAAGAATTATTTTTATTGAAAGCTTCGTATTTTGTCAATCAGACTTTAACTATTCGCAATGAAAGTTCTATTAGTAAAAATTTTAATCATCTCTTCAACCATCAAAAACATTAAGAATTCAACGAAACTTTTACATGGATATTGAATACACTTTCATGAAAATTCGTCTGTTCACGTTGATTGTTTAATATATGTCCTAGATTGAAAGGTGAACTCTAGAAACGTGCATTCACCTGTCTCCTTTAATATGGTTAACAATAATGAGACAGGTCAAACAAGTACGATCATAAACTATAGTATACGGAGATAAACAACGATACACGTGGCTCGGTATAACAATCGTATATCTGTAATGTGAGCCACAAATGTTCTATTATTCATGCACAGCATGAGAAAAAATAATGTTATATCTATTGCGTCATGACATACAATCATGAGACACACATAAAAAGGAGATGCACGAACCATGGATATTTAAATGAAAAGAAAAACAATATTAGACAACAGCAATACTGCTTAATGTAACATTTCGACGTTTTTGTGTGAACAGCTAGTAACGTCAAATCATGTCAATATGTATTGATTTACTTCTGAGTAAAAAAATTGACTTTTTATATTGTTAGAAAGAAGAACAAGATCATCTTGTGCAGTCGAAAAGCGATTCCAACTGAGTACTTATAAGTAGAAAAAAGAAATTGACAATCTCTCAATAATGAGTACCCCCAATAAAATGAACCCTTTTGGCCAGTTTCAATGGTACTCTCATTAGAGATGCTTTACTGTAGATTTTTTTTTCGAATGTTCTATGTTTTTTCTGCTACTCTACGGTGATATCATGATTATTCTCTTTTCTTCTGATCTATTGTCTTTCGAGAATATTTTCACGCTTTATTGCGCTTATATATAAATATATATGCTCCTATTCTCATTGACGGATTTATGTTGTTCTTGATTTTGAAAAACGTTCGTCATTTTTTGTTCATTGCGAAATAGTTGTATACCTACATTCTTTTCCAACAAACATTTTTACCTTTTCATTCAGTGGGAAATAAAAGAATTTGTACTTTTCATTTCTTTATATTCGGTTTATAATAAGAACTAAACAAATGAAATTATATAGAAATATAGAAGTTGATAACAAGTTCTATAGTTTCTATAGTAATGACGACAGCAATGAGAGTAGTCTCGATTTTGGTTATAGTGAATTAACAGATAATTTAGATGAAATTGGACCTTCTGATATGTAAAAGATGAGAAAAATTGTTTGTTTTTGATATTTCATATGATTTTTATATAGTCATTTTCATTCAAATAAAATAAAATAATTGAAGAATCACTTTTCAATTAAAAAAAATTCCATCCTCAAAAGGTTACATGAATTTGTAGAAGATTTTAAAAAGCATCTAATCGGTATGTTTCAAACTGACTGTGTAGTATGGCGTTTATGAATGATTTTGATAAAATTATTCAATACAATTGGATTGATAGTTCAATGTTGTACATATAACCATGTATATTATTAATAATTATAGATTGATGAATCAATTTGAATATACACTTATGATTAATAAAAAGTTACACTTGCTGAATAGTTTAATTTATATATTTTTTTTTCTAAAGTACAAATAGTAGTAATATAACTATAATATATTTATGTTGTTGTCTGATTATATTAGTACCATTTGTACGTATAAAAAGAAAATAAAATGAAATTTTGAATTGAATGCGTCAAAATTTCGGCTTTATAATAGCAATTTTCGAAATCAATTTTAATTAATTGTCTATTATTTACTTATCATGTTATTAGTTTCATTAATCCACTACTTTTTCTAATGCATCTGTACAGCTATTTATAAGAAGTCATCGATAAAAGACGCCCATGTAATGGACAAAGAGGGAGGGTAAAACATTTCTTGACGTCCAAACCGTTACTATGAATATTTTCCTTTTTTTGTCACACAACTTTCGGTCAAATTTGAAGCTTAGTTTGTTTTGGAGAGTACTTTTAAATAGGAAATGACCTGATTGAATCAGTTGAACATGATTATGATGTTGAAACAATTGAAGATTATGCTGGATGAATAACTAGTTATTTTCTCAAGCAGCAAAGAGAAGACCCACATCATACTTGGAATCGATCGGATGAATTTCGATCAGATTGGATTAGCCAGTTGAAATTCTTAACTTAACCGGCGAAAAAGCGATGCGCTTAATATATCAGTAACTCACAACAAATAACACTGAATAATATCTATACTATGGGTTAGCTGACTTTTCAGTAATGATATGACTTCTTTACAATTGATAAGTTTGATCTATTCTAGTTTGAAATAATTATTTAACACAACTGAAAGACATCTCAATTCGTAAAAGGATACCATTGCTGACAGAAAGATAAGGTGAGCTAAAACGTACGGTTTTTACATTAGATTTCCTATTTTAAGATTTCTTAATATCTATATACTATCACAAGCGCATGATATTAGTATTTGGTAAGATCTAGACAGCAGAACGGAATCTTTTCTGATATTTTGTAATGAAAACATGAACTGAAAACTACTCCCTATCGAGATTTTATGAACGTCGGTTCAAAGTAGTCTAGAAAAGTGCACTCGAAATTTCGAAGTGAAAAATCTTTAGTTTAGACTGAAATTAACTTCCAATGTCTGGCTAACTTTTCGTGAGCATAATAATTTTATTTAGCATGATTCGAGACTCTCATCGTATGATGAGAAAGTATTAGCTCAATATTTAGAGCTCGAATTTCGATTACAACTGAAAATTGTTCAGTTAGAAACTTCCAGGTTCAAACCATGGAAATCGTTAAAAACCAGCAAAATAGTCCAACTTTAGTTTCCAAAAACAAAAGGTGAAAGACCAGCCAGTTTTAAGAAACTAACCGGACCGGTAACCGGGAGACGGCTAGTGCGATTCTAAGTATGACCTACACCCACACCCTAGATCCATAGTCACTTCCTCATGGAGAAAAAAGTGAGACTTAAGTACGAATAAAGTACCAAAGTCTCGCTTTTTGTCCCTTGCACTTCCCTCACAAACTACATCTCACAATCACATCTGTTACATTGACACTCATGAGCAAGTGTCCTAGCAAGCAACGGTTCGGCTCTCAGAAAAAGCTGGACAGAGCAGAACGAAGGGTCAAAAATGCGATTTTTATCTGAAAATCCTTTATGGATGATCTCTAAGCTCATAAGATAGGCATGCTATCTTATGATTCAAACATTGTATCAAAACTAGATACAACTTTGACTAAAATTTTGATCGTAGTGTATCATCAGCTAACAGAATCTGATTGAGTCTATTACTTCTTAATATCTTTTTGATGATGTTCTTATGATACACTCGAACAATTTAAAACTAGATATTACTAGTCTATTGTAAGATAATACCTTGTGGATAACGATATGCATCTCGTCTTTTAATAGCACGCCATGCCCAAAATAAAATAACTGATGTTGTAAGATCAACAGCTGAATCAATGACAGAAGAAACAACTGAAAGCGATTTTGAAATAATAGCACCAGCAATTTTTAATATAAATAAACACTAGAAAAAAATAAATAAATTATTTAGATCTTATTAATGAAAATATTAATTATACATACAATATTAACACCAAGTGAAACTTTAGTTAAAATATGCGACATTTTTTTAATTTTTTCTAATTGTTCTTTATGAGCATCATGTTCTGTTCCATTTTCTGATCCTTGAAGATACAAACGTTCATAAACATCAATAAGTTCATCTTGATGTTTATAAAATCGTTTAACACGTCGTGGTAAATCTGAATCTTCATCACGTTGACCTCGACGTCTTTCACGTAGATGTTTTAAAGAATAATATGAACCATCATCAGATGAATTTGTAGGTTGATTTTCTGTATTCACTACGTCTTGATCTGATGTAGTATCATTTTGCTGTTGTTCATCGATCGTTGTAGACGATAGATTATTTAAATTAGAATTTTGATCGGTTATTGAATGATTACTTGTTCGTTGTATAGATTTTGATGATTTTGTATGTTGTTCATTTGATGAAAGTTCATTAATAGAAACTGTGTCTAAATCATGATCATAAGAGACGTTTGTATGATACATATTACCTTTGCTATGTAGTCAATAAATAAAGCGTATAAGTGTTCGATTGATGATAATGTATATTAACTTTGCTTTTTTGTTCTTTCGTTACACTTCAATAATTCAAATCTTCGAGGTATTGATTATCTCACAGATATGTTTTTTTTTGGTATTTTGAGAAGGAAAATTTTTTTAGAAACAATAGGATGATTTTATACATTACACTTTAAAGTTTTATTTTCTTGGAGGTAACTATTGTATGAAATTGAAATCATCAATTCTGTCTTCTTCATTATAAACTTAATGCATAAATATATAGCTTATGGATGATTTTGTTTTTATTTTTTTTATTTCAAGTCAAAAAGGTTATCTGATCGAGCATATTGATAATGATCATTTCATTTTGTCTTTCTTACTTTAATGAGAATATTATTTTGGCAGATAAAAATAACAACAATGAATCATTGGAGAAAGTAACGATATAATGTTAAACATATGATCAGTGATTTAAAAAATTATCACATTGATCAAATATTTGTATAAAAGATTTTTGTATGATTCATTTTTGTACTCAATTCGATCATTCTTTTTCTCTTTTGATATGGATGTACTTTGCATAACGAGAGAAGGTAAAATATGGCCTCGTCAAATGTTTTTTTTTCTCCTCGCTTAATTATTGCTTTAATTGTAAAAGTACAAAACAATACTTAAACAACAAGAGACATATATTTTCTTCAGCAAGAATCCATTAAAAATAAAAATAATCACTATGTATGAAAATAAGTATTATGTCTTTTGACTAATTCAAATGTCTATATTAATAAAAAGAAAAAAAAATGTAGTTTTTTTCGATCAATTAATTTTTTATTTTATATGTATAATAAGAGAAAGTATTCGACCTTAAAATATTATTATCACCTTGTCTTAAATCCAAAAAACAATAAACAAATAATGATAAATAAGATTAAATAAAAAAAATTATATTTTTTTTTTCGTTTTATTATTGATTTTTGACTTAATCTCAAAATACATACCTATTTTTATACATAATTATTATACAAAGTAAAATATAAAATTTGAATATATTTATTTATGATTGGTAAATTTGATATTGAAAATAAATTTTGTTACTCTACATTGATCGTACTGATTTCATAGTGTTGTTAGTGTCATATTATTCCTAATGTTTCATCTAATTACATATAATGTTAAAACATAATATTATCTTCAGGATTGTCAAATCTTCTGAAAATTCGAGAAAGTTGCTGCAAAGATACACCAATGAATAACATTGTAAACCTACTGTCTCTTTAGATTTCACTTTCAATACAATAGAAAGATATAACATGAAATTCTGCACATTTTTGTCAGTTTATTTTGTTTTTGGTGAATAAAAATAAAATATTTTTTTCGTGGACTAAATAGTCTTATGAGATCTATCACTTTCGGATGTTTCGAATAGTAACTGTGATATCCGTAAATTTTTCTATTATAAACCAATATGAAAAGTGATAGCAGAGATTCATGCTATTTTTCATGCTTTACAAAATGACATATCAATCGTATTCATCGATTGGTTTATGTGAGATCAGACAGATATGATTGATACGATTTCCATATCACATTGACAAATTTTCATACTTTTGTAGAATACTATTGTATTTAAAGATCAAATTAGTTCTAAAAATCTTTATGGCCAAAAATTGCATCGTCTCACGTTCTACAAATCTATATAGTCATAAGGTCCATTTTTATTGAAAAATTGTAAGAACTGATGGAATCAAAAATGTTTTACTTATAACCGATGAGATGTTCAAATGTTGTATAATATAGAATTGGAAAGATCAATCTACGATTATACCAGCGGTAAACTATGCGGATTTTCACAATTGGGTGAAACGATATATTAAAAATAGCCAGAGGTTTGATTAAAACCCTTAAAAAAGTCCGAGCATTGTCAAAAAATCACTTTTTCAGAAAGCGAATGGTTAGATACCCCAATATACACTCTCATGATCATTATGACTTTGAGTCATGTCCCTGATAAAAGCAAGGTTTTTATCATGAAACACGATTTTTCATCTGAAAAAATCGTTTTTGTCAAAAAAAAGTTGGTTTTTGTTCGGTGACGCATCTCTAATGATATTCTACCACAGTAAAAGATAAACTCAAATATATATATATATTTTGTTTGAAAGCTCATTTTTTCAACAAAAATGACCTTCACCAAAAAAAATTGCTTTCCTTTGAACAAAATTTGGCTTTTCTCATAAAATTTCTCAGTTTTATTAAGGATTTTTTGGCTTAATGTCTGAATTAAGATGAGGAAAAGACGAAAATAGAAAAAAAGAACAACGCGAAATACTAGACCACAGTGTCTTCTGTTAAATAAAGAAAAAAGAATAAACTTTTTCAGTCGAGTTAGCTGAACGCCATTGGGAATACGATAGATACCAAAAATGAATATTATAAATATAATAAAATTACCTTAGTTCCCACTAACAACAAGATACAAAGCTGAAATTTCTTTTTAGATGCAACTTGACATCCCACAATATTTTCATAAAGTTTCAACTCAGTATGATTCGTTATCAACAAAAAGATTATACTATCGATTAACAGTCATGATTTTGCCATTCTTTTTCTTTCGAAGAAATCGCTTTCTCAAAAATAATAGCCGTCAACAATCTCAAAAAATGAAATATAATCTAATTTGAAAGTATTATAAAAGTAGATGTCGATCATTCTTCTATTGAATATTGATCTAATTTCAACATCAGCAAACTTTTTTGTGTCTCGAATCCTATTTATTTCGTTTAGTCTGAAAGGTAGCCAGCTGAACAAAGTGCAGTGGCCAATTTCTTTCGTTTCACTCGCTTAGTTGCTATTACAATTTTTTTCTTCTTTTCGACGCCTTAGTCACGACTGAAGCAGCCACTCGTTCTCCACACTTAACGATCGTTTCGAAGCACCGATACCATGAGAATATGACAAGTGCACATCTGAAATCTGCCTTGTCAAAAAATCGATTTTGTTCGGGTGCTATAAAAAATGCGAAAAACGATAATCAACAGTTGAGAATTTCCTCATATGTTCATGCATGACTCAATCTGAAAAAGGCCATTGATATTTCAGATGCTGTATGCAATAGTTTCCTTAACTGCAATTCATCATAATTTCCTTTAGAAAAGTCTAAGATTCAGGAATAGCAAATGTCCTATAGGATCGGGTTCTGACATTTTTTTTGGATTCATGCAGTCAGTCGTCTTTTCTACGTGGGCTTTACATGAGTGATAGTGTAGTTCTTTGTCTGTTCTCTTTTCTGTTATTTATTTGAATATTAAGATATTTATTAGAAATCAAAAAAAAAAATAAAGTGTTCGACATGTTTTGATATAAGCATTAAAAAATTTCTGGGTATTTGTTTTTTTTTTCTATATTATCTCGCCCTGAAAATTTTCTGGACAAACGAGATTTTTTTGGGATTCAAGACTTTTTCACAGCACTCTACTAAATAGATTTATAGAGCGTGAGACGATGTAGTTTTTTTTATCATAAAGATTTTTAGTACTAATTTGGTTTTTTAAATACAATAGTATCCAACAAAATTATAAAAATTTGTCTATGCGATATGAGAATCATATCAATGATCTCTATTTGATTCTGCACAAACCAACCAATGAATACGATTTATATGTCATTTTGTAAAGTATGAAAAACTGCATTAATTTATGCTTTCACTTTTCATTATGAGTTTATAATAGAAAAATTACGGATACCATAGTTATTATTCGAAATATTCAAAAGTGATAGACTCCACCCATGTAAAAAAAACTATGAGAAAAATCAGATTAAACCGATTAAAATTAGTCATAGTCGGTTATAATTAATACAACAGTTTATTACCCATTACATTGATTAAAACCAATTGAAGTCGATGTTTACCTGTTGTAAATCAATCAGAAATTAACTAACAATTAATTCAAACAAACTATAATGTTTTAAGATCAATATCAGACAGATATCATCAAGACATCAATTGCTTCGAGCACAGATAATTTTCATTGAGTAAAATTGCTTGTTTTTTAATTTTCAAGAAAATGTTACCTAAAATATTAATTACAATTCTCTGAAGTTTGTACTGCCCATTTTTTCTTCAGAAGAAGCATATACCTTCCTTTCATTCAAAACTAATTGGAAGTCTATTCCTTCTTGGAGCAAAGAAATTAGTCTTAGAGATAGAAAGTAAGTTTATGACATTCCATTTGAATAAGTAAAAAAAAACAGAGACAATTAAAATAAGTGTGGGATTTAGGATATAGCTGCAGGTGAAGAGAAGACGCACTCACACTCACATCTGAACGAAAACTTCGTCAATCCTCATATCCTTCATACGTCAACATCGAAATGAGATTTCATTCCGATTGAAATAAGAGGTTTTATTGAAAAAAGCGTTTTCTTTGAAAGTCCAACTGGCACAACTTATTTTCTTTGATTTCTAACTCTTGAACATTGTTCTTAACACATTAAAAGATGTTTACACGTGAGGGTTTGAAATAAATCATTTTGAACAGAAAAGAGAAAATGTAACAAGTATCTAACTATAAATATATTGCTCTGAGTTTTTTTAGAATTCGCATTTTCAGTTTTTAAAAAACAATTAGCTTTTGCTCTATTAAAATCAATAGTCTTCTATTTACTGTTATTATTTGATTAACTTTTTCTTTTACAATGAAATGAAATCAATAAGTAATGATGAAAAATAAATTTTTTCCAAATAATTTCTAATTAATTATCAAAAATCAATAAGGATATATTACTGACAATGATAATTTATTTTAATCTGTACTTTTTTTTTTGAAAATAAAGTTACTAGGCTTTGGCTTCGATTAATTATTCTGGTTAGTACAAATTGAATTATTCATACTTGGGTTTTCTACTTTATTCTTTTTTCCACATAGGGTATCACTGCAATTCTTATAACCGAATCAGAAATCAAATGAATTCCAATAGATTATAGTTAGCGTTATCTGATTTTAGACGATATTTAGCTAAACGTTCTAATTGATTACAAAGGCTTGTTAGCGCAGCTCTTTTTAGGTTGAACGTTGAAACTCACATGTTAACTAGTATATGATTTAGTATATCGTTTTTATGTAATGAAATATACTCTAAAGTTTGATGAATATTCTTTGAAGTAATATACAATGCAACGAAGATTTCTTTCTCAATATCAGTTCCATTTTGTGGAATAGAAAGAAAAAAATATATGAACGATGTTAAACAAAGATACCATATTACGTTTCACGTCTTTCTTGAAGTTGTAACTGACACACATTTCTTTCTCGTCATCTGTATTCATGACACAGAATGGAATAGTAGAACGTTTGTGGATGAGCCAAATTCAATTTCTTTTTTTTCTTTTATAATAATGTTACTTGTTTAATAGAAAAGAAGACACATAATCAAATCGCCAACTGAATGGTCATCATTTTGTGTGTTTAATCTAGAATAGTATCTATTTTGCATAACATTGCATCTGTATCTCAAATAATTGTACCTTTGAAGGAAGTAATAGAGGGTAGATTAATCATGAATGTCATTAAGAGTATGAAGATCTTGTGTCCTTCTCAAACAAAACTGAAAGCCAATTGATATTCAATCGTTAGTTGATGTTATTTCATTTGAGAAAACGTT